AATTATTGTGTTCTCTTAAGTTTAATGTTTGAATATTCAAATAATGCATTCAAATGTGTTCATTTTCATATATTATATATATTGGATAAAGTGAGGTCTATTGTACTCCATACACAGTATCACTCCATACATCAGAAAATACCAGCAACAGTCATAAAACAATTTAAAAAATTGCCATGTTTTTAGGAATAAAATGTAATATAAATCAGGCTATGAATAATATATGAACAAAGCCCTCTGTAAACACCTTCAGAATATAGATAGGAATAACACTGGAAGCTCTGGTGTATGTGTGTGTGCTGCTGAAATGTAGATTTCTAAAATTCTTGAGGGTTTGGTGAAATCTACAAATGCAAAAAAGACAAAGTGTAGTAGAATAAACACCTTCATTTGGATTTGGGGTGTTTTCTTTACACTAGTCTGAAAGAACTAAGAATTGAAGCACAAATGACAAAATAGCTTTAATTTTCAACTCGAGATATTGTGATTCTTTAACAGTGCTGCTGTATCTAAATAAAACACCTGTGTGTCACAAAAACCCTCTGTCTGATGGACAAAAAGGATTCCTTTAAAAAATAGATGATGCCAGCAAGGTTACTTGTTGCATGTCTGACAGGGTCTGTTTTGTAAATGAACAGGTACAATCTTTGTCAATTCTGTTGATAACTGTGCACATAATATACAATAAACTGAGCTTTATATTGTTTGCAGTAGAACTGCAGGAGATTAATTGTCTGTTCTAAATATCAGCAGTTATCAAACTCCTTCATTTGTTCAACGGTGTTGGAACATTTAACCTAAGCAGCAGCCTTGAATCAGAGCTTTTTCTTCACATTTGAGCTAATCGAGCACACAATAAATGACTCCACACAATGTTTTTCCGGGCCACAGTGCTGAGGAAGAACAATACTTTCTGTCCTATTTCTTCACATTCAATTTTAATTCGAATAAATTATGCAAGTTGTTTGTTGCAGAAAATCTAAAAACTCTGCTTGAGAATTTTTATGTGAGAATCATTTATCAAAGGGAGACATCAGCACTGGAGGTATCGATACTTCGCTATTGATCTGCTGATCTGTAGTGGGCGCTGGGAGAGCTGGAGAGCACCGAGTGTACAGAGTGAGGGGACGGTAGCTGATTGTAAAGTGTTGATTGTGGACTGGATCATCATGCTGTTTCTGACCTGAATCTGACAGGCTGTTGTTGATTGTGAGAGCAGAGCGGGAGCTGACCTGTTGCTGAGTGTGGATCCCAGACAGTAATGTATTTGTCAGCGTAATTACTTCCTTCTCTAAATTACTGCACCGACACTTAAATGAGACCTCCTGTACTGAAATTTTCCTTTCCTCCACTTTCTCTTCTAAAGCTGTCACCTGAATCACACCACCATTCACCCAATCCCAGTCATGAGAAAGAATGTATAATATAATGATCATGCTGGTTAAATTACAACATGATTCTATACTAAGAAGTTGAAGTAGAATACTTACAACATTTAGAAAGGATCTATAGTCAGACATTTAATATAATATTCATAGGTATGTTTTTATTAGTGTATAATCACCTAAAAATAGGAATCATTGTGTTTTTGTTACCTTAGACTGAGCCTATATTTTCATCATAGATCACCTTCCCATGGAGTCCACCATGCTTTGTATCAAACCAGCTTTTTTTTACTGGAGTACAAGATTTGCAGAGCAGGGCATCTCTGCAGCTCTACAGTACTCCATTATAATGCTGTGTCACACATTTTACTTTCAGCAAAAAATTATTAACCTTCTGCGAATTGGAAATTGCATGTGGCCATATTCTTCTAAAAATAATATATAAATTGTGCGACCTTATGAAGCACCTTCAACACAGTTAGAAGTTTAATTTGTTAATCTTGGAGTAATTTGTCTTGATTAACAATGTGCAATTATTTTCTTTTTTCTTTTTTACTGCAGCTACTTCTGATGCAACATTTTATGCATTTAAGTGTAACTAAATCTGTGTCCTCATCCAGTTTTGCTGTGTGTCCCAAACTAAATGGGAATAGATGGGATTTTAAAGTCAGTAGTTCTCAACTGCTCTCATCTTGGATTCATATTTTCCCATGGTCATTAAGTCCCATTCCACTTTTATAGAATTCAAACAAAGCATATGTATTTTTCAAATAGGCTAGTAAACACATATATAATATTGTTTTCAACATACAATATACACATATTTTCACCCGTCATAAAAATGCATTATTCTAATAATAAACTGAGTATGAATGAGGGATGAGAACCAATATTTCAGTACCAAGTCAATGCCGAAATTGTGACAACATGAGGCTGCCCATTTTTCTACAGTACCCTAGAATCAGTCAAAAAGTCAACCCACTGGTTGAGAAAGCACACTTTGGATTTACTGTTTTTGATTACATAGCTTCTACAGGGATTTAACACTTTATTGTAGAATTTAATTATGATAACCATACCATTACAGCCATATAACTGAAGGATTTATCCATTAATTATTATGACATTTCTGTGTTGCTACCACAATAAAGAAGTTCTTTGTATCTGAGAATGACTTCCTGTGTGGAGTTCATCTTGTAACATCCAGCTAACTGAATGAGCTTTTACTGCTGCACGTTTGCTAACTTTTAGGCCAGATTTGAAGTACTGAAATGTATTAAATCATCAGCAATCAAATCAGGCTAACGCAGTTATCCACATACCAAGAACAGAGCCCAGGTTTAAGATCAGTGTTAGCTTATCTGGGTTGTTTTTCCTGAACCACATGATGCAGACATGTTTCGACACAAATCCACATTATTTGATTTGCCAACAGAAATCCTGGTCTCGCTTCCTCTGACCCTCGTTACCTCTCTCTCTCTCTCTCTCTCTCACACAGACACACTCTCTCTCTCTCTGCCAGCTGGAGGTCTCTTGCCTCCTGCAGAGAAAAAGCTGCTGCCAGTCTACTGCGGTAGGCAGGCTGGTGGAGAGCTGCTGGCAACCTGGTCTGCCAAACTGATCACATCCACAGTGGCACCCTGAGCTCCTCTTAATACTTTGAGGAATGTCATCTGGAGTTTGGTGCAGGAAAGGGTTTTCACAACTAACTTGTGTATAGTGAGATTATTGGAAAGGGCAGAGCTGAGAAAATTTGGCTTCCCTGGTTGGGAAGATACCAAACACTGTACTCATCATATGAATGTATTTTTTAAGAAACTTGTGTCTGCCAAAATCCACAAGAAACAATGTACATTAGCTACTGAAGGCCAACTCCAGCTTTTTAATTTTAAGTCTGGATTTCTACCAATTTATTCAATTTATCGATTTATTTCATCACTATGATTGGAACAGCAGTAATTGTTTTGTAGATTTTTGCCATTACTGTTTTCCTACAGTATATTACGCCTGTCCTAGCATGCATGACCCTGCTGTCACACCAATGTACAAGTGTGACACTGTATACAGAGTGAGGCCATTATTTTCTGCACTCTACTGAGCGGTGTCATGAACCACAGCTGCTATTCAGTCAGGTTTTGTGGGCAAATGTTAGCTAGTCACAAATTCTTGTTCAGTACTTTTTTGGTAATCCTGCACAGACAGACAAACCCACAAATGGCACAGATAACAACCTTGGTGTCAACCTTATCTCAGTTTTCTTTCAATGAAACAAAAAACAATGTTCAGGCCACATCTAAAATTATTTTCTTAGACTTATGGAGGAGCCAAAGACCAATTTAAGTTAAAGGGAATCTCATCCATACATGTCTTATGTTGAGCCAATGAGTCAAAACACTAATATGTGATGTGTATTATTGGGATCCCTATGCATCTGGTGGCTTCACAGATATTATTAAAGAGTCAATGCAATGGCAATGCACAGTCAACATCCTTTTTCAGTTAAGTATTGGATGTATTGTTTGGTCTATAGTTTGCCCTGAGACAGTCCCTTTTGGACATTATTTTATCTCCTAGACTCCTTACTTCCTCCCCTTGGATGTTGTCTTCAATTACTGAGCAGTGCAGCCATCGATCCTGGAGGCACAGTCTTCAGAGAGGAGACTCAGACAACAAAGAGGAGTGACAGGCTTCAGAACTCCCCCCTCGGCTTGACCCTCACCCCTCAAACACCATTGTCAAAGATGAAGGGAGGTTTAAAAGGTTTGAAAACAGATCTGCACTAGGAATCTGCAGCCATCACTGACAGTCAGGATGCTTTTTGACTTATTATCAATACCCATAAGCAAGAACCATAAGATTTTACAATTTTGAAATTTTACAAAATGCACTAAATTCAATAAAACAATATTCATTCTGAAATACTGGTTTAAGAAAAGCCACTTTGGAAACATATTATTCTATATAAACAATTAGAATAATAAATGACTCATAATTAAAACAATAAATGTGTGACATTACTTGTTTTTACTAGCTGCTTCGATGCCAGAAGATAAATGACAGAGGGAACAGAACCAAAGAAAGTAGGATTTTCTGTTTAAGCTTGACTAAACATTATCAGCTGAAACCATCAAGATAACCACACAGGAACACATTGAAAGGGCTCCAGAATCTGAACTAATCCCCCTTCAATTTTAGTTAAGTACAACAATACTGAAAATATAGCACATAATAAGGAGGAGAGGTGAACAGTCATGTCATGATGTAATAGTGAGAAGTGTCAGGTTATAATATCTGCACTGTAGCCTTCATGCTTCATCGGCAGGTAGCCAAGCAGCTGGTGAAACATGAATGAATCGTAACATCACCCATTGGTTTGTGGACCACTGTTTTGAAGCCTCAAGTTTGGCATTATGGTCATTGCCATGTTATTTTGCAGCCAGCAGCGACATACTGTGAGTTGAGTTGCGCTCATTGGCTGCTGAATTTCAGCTTTCCAAAGATATGTCACATTTGTACCCACCCAAACATAGTAGTTTAATACTTATAATACTGATATATCATAGTTGCACTGAAATGACACATATTATTGGGTTGATGTGAGCAGCATTTTCTTACCTTTCCAACATACTGGGGTTCAGATCCCATGTACTCCTCCAGGACAAAGAACTGGTTCCACACCCATCCTCTTTTAATACGCTGGACCTTCGATCTCCCATGTCTCCTTAGCCTCATCCTGCTCTCCAATGATATGACTTCCCCCAAAGGTGCCCTCACGGTCTTGCCTCTAGTCCCTCCACTGGCTGACATCACTCCAGCCTTAGTTCTGCTCTGGAGCTGAGCCTGCAGGGGGACTTGGGAGCTGTAGTCCAACAGGAAACAGGAGCCCACCAGAAACAGAGTGACATATTCCCTTGTGATCATCAGGGAGTAAAAAAAAAGCTGAAGTTAAAAGTTCAAAAAGCTAGCTATTTCCAGGTCGGAAATGGACATGCAGCCAAAGCTGAACTTGCCTTGCAGGTAAGCATTGGACAAAGTATTTAAATTCCAATATGATCCAAGGTAATGAGAGGAAGATCTGTTAATTCACTGCCCTTGCTGAAGCGTTACTGAAGATCATCATGTTAGGTAAGAGAGTTGCTGAACACTTTGGTTTGATGTTGTTGTTGAGTGTAAAAAGTCTTTGGTCTGGTTCTGTGATATCTAGGCGATATTTGGAGTTCTTATCTGTCAGTCCTCAGTTTAGACACCTGAAAGAAAAGATGAAGATAACAATTTTGAGCATGAAACTTAATTTCCAGGATTTCAGAGGATTTTTTTGGGATTGTTGCGGCCTAAAATGGCAGATTTTACTCCAGCATTCAACATTTTTTTTACAGCGGTTGGTCAGATTTGGAGAAAAAGTTGTGGTGATTGGACAAAATTGCAAGATCAGCAGAATTCACAGGAAATGGTTGCATTTACATTAATTGTTGCGATAATAATATTGTAACTTCTTGAAGGGACTACCATTCTTGACGTTGGAAATAGTAGTTTGACAAACAAAAAAAATCTTATATCGAGCAGTCTTGAGTCGCCATATATTAATACATCATACTTGTCACAATCACAATATGATATGAACTGTGTTATGAATATCTATGTCAAACTGCCATTCCCAGAGCAACTGCCAGGCTTGACAATCACCATCAATTAATAAAACTTTTTTCTGAGTCATGAATCATAGATCAAAATTCCTAGATTGGTTCTTGTTTCAACCCTGTGGTGTTTCATTGTTATGCATACAGTAATCCTCAGTAGGTCAGAACTTTGCCCAACCTGCACCTGCTTTATCATACATTACACCCAGCACCTAATCTTTTGGCATTATTATAATTCATACAAGTGTTTACTCAGTGTGAATGACTGCTTTCACCGCTGCTGTCACTGTCACCAGCGCATCAGGCCAAAGACTGAGGATCTCCATTCAGAACTGTAGGCACTAATTGGAAAAAGGCTTTAGTATGCAACGTTGGCAGCCCGGGTGGATTAGTCTGACGGCTGATGCATGTTACTTGCACGTGCAGAGGTTGATAAATGGGGATGTTTGCTGAGGTAGGGCACTTCTTGAAACCTTCATTGTACATGGAATGGAAAGGGATTGCCTTGTGTTTTATTGCATTATACCACAGGGTCTAAGTGCTTCAGGGCTATAGGAAGCATGTTGATGGGGCAATATGAGCCTCACTGTCAAAATTTCTGATACTATTCTTATTTTACTTTGAGAAACAATCTTTATGTTTTGGATGCAATTCCCATGATCCTTCAAGGCTGTGTTTGTTTACATTTTGGCAAATTGGCACCATTAAGAAAAAAAAAAATTTTTCCTTTTAAAAAGGGGGGTAGGGAAACCCAAAAAAAAAAACAAAAACCAAAAAAAAAAATAAAAAAAACCCAAAAAACCCCCAAAATTTTAAAAAAAAAAAAAAAAATAAAAAAAAAAAAAAAATAAAAAAAAAAAAAAAAAAAAAAAAAAAAAAAAAAATAAAAAAAAAAAAAAAAAAAAAAAAAAAAAAAAAAAAAAAAAAAAAAAAAATAAAAAAAAAAAAAAAAAAAAAAAAAAAAAAATAAAAAAAAAAAAAAAAAAAAAAAAAAAAAAAAAAAAAAAAAAAAAAAAAAATTTCTTTTTCTCCTCCTTCTTTTTTTAATTTTAAAAAAAAAAAAACAAAAAAAAAAAAAAAAAAAAAAAAAAAAAAAAAAAAAAAAAAAAAAAAAAAATTTTGACTCTAGGAAGAAAGGCTCTTTTTCAAAAAAAAAAAAAAAAAAAAAAAAAAAAAAAAAAAAAAAAAAAAAAAAAAAAAAAAAAAAAAATTTTTTTATTATTTTTTTTCAAAAAAAAAAAAAAAAAAAAAAAAAAAAAAAAAAAAAAAAAATCGTTTTTGTGTACTGAGTACGTAATTTTGTTGTGTTGTTCAATGTGTACATGATTCACCTGAAGCTATATTTAACAAACATCTCAAAAAAAACCCCCAAAAATTTACAATCCAAATAAAATTAAAAATTTTTGGCCCCCCCCTTTGCTGTGCTATATTAAGGTTGTCACAATAACAGAATTTAAAATTTCGATTTTGATTTGAACACATACCAACACATACAAATGAACTATTCAATCAACTGGCTCTCAGCGATTGTTTTATCTATGTAGCCTTGGATTGAAAAGAGTAAGTTATTTTTAAGTAAGTTATTTTTTTGGCCTTTTATTGCCTTTATTGGATAGGGACAGCTGAAGACAGACAGGAAGGGGGGGCAGAGAGAGGGGGGATGACACAAAGCAAAGGGCCACAGGTCAGATTCGAATCCTGCAAGCAAGTCTGTGCATGGGTCGCCAGCTCTACCGACTGAGCTAACAGGGCGCCCAAAAATCATAATCTTTATAGCTTCAGTACTATTGAATGATAGTATTAAACACATAGGGCTCTATCTTGCACTCAGTGCAACTGACTTTGTACACTGGCGCTTGTATAATTCCTATTTTGCACTCGACACACATTGGAATTTTCCCTCCTCCGATGTACGTACATAAATTAGGGAATGAACTTGCGCTCCGGAGGGCGGTTCAGCGAAAAGAGGAGGCGTGTTCCGGCGCAAACGTTCCCTGGTGCTATTTTGCTGTTTCAGAAAACAGTTCCGCCACAGACCAGGAAAAACCTAGTCTAAAGTCAGTGGCGCTTATTCAGATGCTATTTCTTTTCGGTCTTTTACGTCCCTGACTAGAACGTTGGTCCCCTCTGCTGTGAACCGCTCATGGCATGCGCCAGGAACAAGCGCGCCTGCTTTTAAAGGGTATGTGATATGATGCTCTGATTGGTTTATTGCACGTTACGCCCAAACCACTCCTATGACTAATGTAGCTACTTCAGACCAACCCATTTTAAATTTGCTGGGCGCAAGAGTCATTTATCCCACCGGCATAATAGCAACAGCGCCCGAGATCCGCCCACAAAGCTACTTGCATTTTGCGTTTTATATTTGCGTTTCAGATCGGCAAGATAGGGCCCGATGTATCAAAAAAGTATCAAAGTATATAGATACCTTTAGTATCGATACATTAGACTGTATATAAAGATGGATGACAGCTTCTAAAAGTGAATCCAAATCATCTTAATCGCCCCCTGGTGGCTGAGTACAGGTCATAAACCCTGCCTCCTCCATGCTAGCAGATCATTTAAGATGTATACTTTATTAATCCCCTGTTGGGGAAATTGTTTTTTCACTCTTTTTTATTTTTATACACACACACAAACACACACACACAGGCTGAAATACACACTTCATGCACTTGTGGACATGCAACAGGGAGAGAGATGGTGGAGTGATGGGCTGACACATTAGCAGCGCCCCATGAGCAGTTTCTTGGGGTTAGGTTGCCTTGCTCAAGGGCACCTCGGCAGTGCACAGGAGGTGAAACTGGCACCTCTCCAGCTTCCAGTCCACACTCTGTATTGTGGTCTGTGGGAACACATCAAATAATTTGTTTCTATTATTTTGTTTTCTGATAAGTTCCGTTTCAGTAACTTGGATAAATAAAGTACATTTCTACCAATTCCATTCAGTTAATTTAAGTTACACTTACAGCATTTCTAATGGTAGCCATTTTTATTTTATTTGTGACTAATCATCCTATTATTTGGATTCATACTTGGGCTTATAATATTTAATAAACTGAAATAAAAACAAAAATTTAAAAATCCTAAGCAATACAGCATTATAATCCTTATTATTACATAATGATATAAAGATTACTTCAAGAAAATAAGTTAATGGAACAAACTGGAATTATATCACCTGTTCTTAAAATACTGCACACATTTAAGTTACTTCAAAAATTCTTTGTTGAATTAGGTTTAATTCATGTGAATGAGTTCTTGGGTTCTCTCCTGTACTAGCTTCTCTGCATTGGCTCCCTGTAAAATGTAGAATAGAATTTAAAATCCTCCTCCTCACCTATAAAGCTCTTCATGGTCAGGCCCCTTCATATCTTAAAGAGCTCATAGCACCCTATTACCCCTCTAGAACACTACGTTCTCTGAATGCTGGGCTACTTGTGGTTCCTATAGTCTCTAAAAGTAGAACAGGAGCCAGAGCCTTCAGTTACCAAGCTCCTCTCCTGTGGAACCAGCTTCCATTTGTGGTTCGGGAGGCAGACACCCTCACCACATTCAAGAGTAGGCTTAAGACATTCCTCTTTGATAAAGCTTATAGTTAGGGCTGGATCAGGTGAGTCCTGAACCATCCCTTAGTTATGCTGCTATAGGCCTAGACTATCGGGGGATTTCCCATGGTGCACTGAGCTCTCTCCTCTCTCTCTCTCTCTCTTTCTGCACTCATTCATGTTCCATTAATGCATGTTACTAACTTCACTTCTTCCCTGGAGTTCTTGTGCTTTCTCGTCTCGCAGGTTCTTGTCGATCCTGGTGGAGCCTCCTGACATGGTCCTGCTAGATTGCCATTGCCAATACTGTTGTTGCTGTGCACCTGTCTGTTTGTCTCTCGCTCTCTCTCTCTCTGCCTCTCGCTCTCTCTCTCTCTCTCTCTCTCTCACCCCAACTGGTCGAGACAGACGACCACCCACCTAGAGCCGGAGGATCTGTCCTAGGTTTCTGCCTTTTAACAGGCAGTTTTTCCTTGCCCTTGTCGCCAAGTGCTTGCTCATGGTGGTACTGTTGGGTCTCTGTAATTAATGGTTTAAAGAGTTCGGTCTAGACCTGCTCTATTTGAAAAGGGTCCTGAGATAACTTCTGTTATGAATTGGCGCTATACAAATAAAATTGAATTGAATTGAATTGAATTGAATAAAATATTTTAATCAGTGCTGTCAAATGATTAAAATATTTAATCGCGATTAATCGCATTTATGTCATAGTTAACTCGCAATTAATTACACATTTTTATCTATTCTAAATGTCCCTTGATTTTTTTTTGTCCCATTACTTTTTCTCATTTTAATGCTCTTATCAACAAGGAGTGTTGGAACGGCTTGCTTTGTGCAAATGTTTTTATTGAAAAGCTACCTGACTACCGTGTTTGCAGTGAAACGCAGAAAGCTAACGAGGACATGGCGGAGGACGAGGCTAGTGGAGGGGGGATACTCGGAGGTGTGACGGCGGATTTGGTGCTGGCTGCTATAAGCTCCATGAAAACTGAGCTGTCTTCAAGATTTGATAGAGTTATGGCGGCGATATAAACTATGATGAGGGAGATAAATGACTGC